TCATCATCATCATCATCATCATCATCATCATCATCATCATCATCATCATTGGCAGCAACAACAGATGAGAAACCTGGAGTTTCAATGCTCTACAACCATGTTTGAAGGTTAAATGAATTGTTCTCTGAAGTTTTCAACCGACGATTTCGGCGCTGTTTATTTTTTTTTGGATAAACGAGCTATACATGTCGGTTAGTTTATCACCAACCGGATTCCTCCTTTGGCCTGCTGCGCCTAGCAACTAGAAACTTTTATGCATATTCCACGAGTCCTTCGTCTGCTCCATCTCTTCAGCTCCGGAATCCTCGATCCAATAAGGTGATTTTTCCACCTGAGGTATGACATTTTGTCGAATTGTGTTGTACTCCAGCCCAAGAGGAGCACGTGTCCACGCCTCCAGAAAGTTTTCAGCATTGCTCGAGACCCAAAACTTGTGTCTAATTGGTTGCGTCTCTCCACAGGCAGATTGCTCAGCATCCTGTAGGATTGGGGACAGTGAAGGTCATTATCAAAATATGTCTTGTCCAAAAGGGGTTTCAGTCATTGGTTCTGGTAGACTTGTTTCACAAGCGGCAGTGACTGAACCCGCGCCACCTACAGCGAGTTGTGATGTGGCCCATCTGTATTATAGACTTGTTAAGCGGCAGTAACTGAACCCGTGCCACCTACAGCCAGTTGTGATGTGGCCCATCTGTATTAGAGTCTGGCTTGCATGCGGGAGGCACCGTATGTCTAAGCGGTTTCAGCGGTTTAGTAAGTTACTACTGCACAGAAGCAGTCAGCACGTGACTGCCACAGACGTCTGTCGTTGTAGTTCCCGCGGCTCGAGTCAGGTTTTAGATGACTACCCGATTGAACCTCAGCAGAGCCAAGCCTACCTAGCCCGTCAACCAAAACAACATCTGGGATCTTAGTCCATCAAGAACGGACGTTCAAATCATCGGGAAAGATGTCCTATGGGTACATTAGATCTCGTCTGTCGGGTGTAAGCCCAAAGAACCACACGGGGTGACTATGAACTTTTCGATGACTTAGAACGATGAAGAACCGGCAAGACCAGCATCGCGACCGGAAGCTAGTGGAAACCGATGTGCAAATCAAGCCCGCACTTCGGTCTTGTGCACACCGATAGAAAGCGAGTCCAAGGGGTCATTAGTTTGCTATCTTCGCCTCAGTTCAACTAAAAACCTGAGTAAAAATCATGCTTGGTAAAGTTACTCAATTCCTAAAGCTAACAAAAATACGGCATAAATATGTAATGACAGTATGACATCGTTAAAGACTCTGTCAACAAAGATGGTACTGGGGAATGTTGTATCGTGGGTGGCCGTCTATTGGTTACGCCTGCACTGAGCCTGCCAGACTACGCGATAAGGAGAAGACAGAGAATCCTGGACAGGCTGTATTGTCAGGACAAAACATACAGAGCTTCTGCGCAAATATATAGGTTGACTAAATGGCCAAATGTGGTCGTTCACTTGTTCGTTCTGTACAGCCAATAGAGGTGTTTCGGTCGTGAACGCGCTCAGCCCCACTCCACTGGTCGTATGTTGCTAAGCCAACGCACCTGCTTTCCGAACGTGTCGCACCGATGGTGACCTTGGGGGTGTCAGGGCGCGTCCTGACAGGGGATCATCTCAACGTCCTTCTATGTCACTTTCCTGATTTGTTGTTTTTCCCCATATATTACAAATTCCACATGGTAAGAATTCTGGTTCATGATGATTCCTCTCCCCAAATGAGCAGAACTCACCCCATCTGGTTCCGTTTTAGTACAGTTGTGGCTCAGTGCACTGGTGAAAGGAAGAAGGGCTTCGCTGCGGAGTTATTTATTCGGAAATGCCAACTGACCGGTTACAGACCATTGAACAGGGAAGCAAAACTCTAATCTGCATCTTAGTTACAAAAACTGGACACAGATCTTCCCCCGAACGAGTCTTCGTAGAGATTCGGTGCCTCCACTCATTCGTCGGTCAAATCCAAGCAAATGTTACAAAGTGGCCCCACGAATTCCGCAACAGAATTCCCTTTTTCAGTCGATGCAAAGCAAAATTCTACGAACAACACGTACTACTCGCGTGCCTCCCGATCAGTAGTTTCACCGTTACACTGGTATTCCTATAACTGGGTCGGGACCAGGCAAGGCATGAATGAAACAAATGTTTGACCCTCTGTTCGGAGCATCCATACTTCTCATTCCTGTGCACAAAGGACGAACGTCATCTACTGTCTTGTTCAAGTGAACAAAGACGGGAAAATTCCTCTCACGCTGACCGGAAACGGCCTTACCGCTTTTCATGCACTGGTGGCTTCCGGTTCAAAATTATACACAATTGTCGGTTTATTTCACTTCTGATGATTTCAAACACCAAAGGTGACCGCTCTCGGGGGGGGGGGCAGGGTAGTCCGTCTAAAGACTTTTTAAAAAACACCTCTCTCAGTCAAGTATCAATCAATCAGTCAGCTTTTTTCATGTCGCCAGATTATTACCACAGCACGTTCTTGACTAGACACGGATTCACAGCTCTACAACTCACACCAAATAATCTGACCTGAATTTTTGCTATTTCGATACAGCGAACGCAACACTGTTGGTGGGTGTTTGTGGCAGTGCGCAGCAAGCAGATGGTCAACACTGTTTGCCCATCGCTCAAACGACGCGGCCGAGATGGTGGGGCAGACATACACTAGCTTGAGCTACAGCCTGGTTCTGTCCACGGAATGTCCTAACCCCATCCAAAATCGTTGCGAGATGCCCAATCAACGCCACACTGGGATTGGTCTTACGCTCACGGGCTACCTGTTCAGTCGATCAAACGACCAATCAGACTGGGCGAGTAATTCTGGTGACAAGCCAGATAAGAAAAATGACAACGAAAGACTCAGTTCACTAGTGCCATTATCGCGCATCACGCGTTTCGGGGAATTAAACGATGAACTCGACTATCACTGACCTCGTTGTGTCCCAATGAAACAAAATCTCAACCCGTTGTCTTTATGCTCAAGATGATGTGATCTTGGAGGATGACGTCTGAATCCGCTGAAAAACAGTCGTTTCATCGCATGTCCAGTCAGAAGAGAAGAAAACTTTGGTCCTTGGCTGCTCGGGCAGCAGTGAAATGTCCCGATGACGCAGAGAAAGCAGTGATAGACAGCCCGTCCATCTCTGTCCCGAGCAAGGATTCGCTTGTGAAGACACAGGACTCTGGGGTATCTGTTGATTTGCAGGCTGACCCAATGCAAGTTACCGGAGCATTCACGTCATTCTATGCTTCTACAAATCCCGTCAGCTTTGACAAGGTCTTTCATTCTTTGGACAAACATGCTGTTGGACAGGATCCTTCTTCGTTTCGGTTTCCTTCACGATATAGCAGCTCCGGTGCTGTTCGCAGTGCATTACCCAAAATTTCCGATCCATTTCCGCGACCGGGTGACGTAGCCCGATTGGGTCAGAGGCCCCACAGACGCATTCTCAATCCCATCAGACGTGTTGCTGGAAATAGGGTGTTGGACAGTGCCGATTCTTCTGGGATCGGCAGCAGTCTGGACTGGGCTTCCATGGATGTTGGCCAACCTAATCCAGGTCGACATCTGAGTGCCACACTCATTCCACCCATCTTTCCTGTAAATATACCTATTTCAACCAGGAGTTTTGATGAAACTTTTAGTCAACGAAAGGATATGCGCCCATTTCCAAAACTCCCCGACAATCCTGTTACCAACTTTGTGGGAACAGCACATCACTCGTACCACAGATTGGGTTTATCGATGGACAGTTCCCCATATTTCAGACCAGAAGAGATAAATCCTCGTGTGCAACTGGAATCCGTCGACGGAAGAGTGGATCCACTTTCCGGCTATTGGTATACAACGCGTAGGCAAAGTCGTCCTTTCTCACCAGTTCTAAGACGAACAACTCCTCAAGAGTCTGTTGGACATCGAATGTTTCGAAGCTTGGACCAGTCGCAAGTTCCCACGGAGTATGCCCCATGTCTGACGACACCAAGAAAAGTTCACCCTGGGGTTTTGGGTCCATGTGTTGATATTCCATTGGGAAGCGGACCGTCAATGCCATATAATGCCAATGTTTCTTCTATACAACACCATGCTCCGACCTACCACGCGAAACCCCGGTGGTCACGTGATCCAACCGCGTCATTTGACACGGTTGCCGCACCAAAACTCTGTACCCGATATTCGACAGGTTACCTGTTTGATCCCGTCAACAGGAGAAGTTTTTTCACTCGCCGATCCAGAACTCTTGATGAGGCCAGTGTTCACCACACAAACACTGTGAGTGATTGCCGATTGCACCACAAAAAACATGTGATGTACCCTGTACCGCCCCCGACGGACGAATATGACCTCTTTCGCTCAGAGTCCCCTTTCAGTCCTTGGCCGGAAAAAAACAGATCGGCATCAAATGCTTTCCTACTACGACCGCAGTTGTCCACAGACCGGCTGACATTCAGAGGATTAGATGACCGACAAGGGTCGCCCGAATTTACAGCCAGCACTGCGGCCCCGATGAAACTAGAATTATCAGGTGATTACCACACACGCGACTCCGTTTGGTGGGTAGATCGGAAGCAAAGGGACCCATCATCTTGGAGACATATACCTAGTAAGTCCGAATAGTCATGAGAGGGCTTTACTCCGCTGTTCTCAAGTTGTTTTGAGCTCAGGATGGCTGATTCATTACTGACCGGAATGTCCGTGGTTCGAACCCAACCTCAGCATCTCGACTGCTCTTTTTTAGGCTTGGACAGTATCCCAGGCCTTCAGATGGCATTCCAGATAGGCACCAAAAAGATGCTACAGCTGAACGGTTATTATTATTATTACTTATTACAAAATCCATACTAAAAGCCTTAGAGCTGATCAACTTCGCACTTTCAATGTCCCACAAAGAGCTGCGCTCACAGAACTCGTGAAAATGTAAAACAGAATTCAGAATAGTTTCGGCAACAATTGTTACCTGTGGTGGCTCAAACCTGATAGCTCGTTTGAATTATTATAAAACAGTTCAAACGTTTCTGTTTAGTGCTACGTACGCTTTTGAAGTAATCGTTCTTGCGTCGGCTAATTTCGATCACCATGGGTTGCATTGGATGAGGCAAACAGTGCAGTCATTCCGGTGTCAGGCTTACTCCGAAGGAAGCAGGAGAGAGATACCGGGGTTGGGTTCGAATCACGGACCGTTTGGTCAGCAAGTTCAGAGCTTGACCACGGCTCAGCAGACATCTCAGTTGTTCCCGGCATAAACGTATTGAGAAATTGTCACTGAAATGAGCAAGCTACAAAAGTGAAAGAAAGAACAAGGCCGTGAGGTAATTGGGTCCCGGAAGATTGGTCATTTCAGAATTGGTAAAAAATGGCTTTCCATCACTATCGGTTTTCTTTTTCTTATACCAGTATACTGGGCACCCGTGAGCAACTGAGTTCTCCACGGGGAATGGGGTGTCCGTACGGTACTCGCAGAGTCTCTCATACCAAGTTGGTCAATGGGTAGAGGTCTAACACTAACACTGTTTCCTTGTCCTTTGGTTGCAGGTACAGTGAGTTGTACCACAGCATTAGTATGCCGGCATCTAGTGCGTCAGGCTTTCGACCTACATACTTTAGTTGAGGACTCTGGTCGTCCTACTGTCTTGGTGTGGGATTTCTCGCACAAGTTGGGCTGTTCTGCAAAAATGAACATCATCAGAGGGGGACGAGACTATGTATGACTTAGACATACCCCCACCCAGAAGAATTCCTGGAGACAGGATTGTACTACAATCGCAAGTTGTCCCATCCCGCAACTATTGGGATGAAATGTCTGGAAGGGAGTCGTCAAAACGCTGCATTAGACGAAACGTTAGATAGACTGTGGGGGGGGGGTGAACGTAGACGTAGCTCCAAGAAGTGCATGTCGGATAAAGTACGCAGTGCATCCACGAACTAGGCGTAAATCCTAAATGCTACCTGTGGCAGATTCGCGCGATCATATATCACCACCAAAAGGTTGATGGTGATAAATAAGTTTGTCAAATCATTTTATCACTCACCTCACACTCAATGAGAGTTCACCCTATAGTTTTTTGGGTTCCTTGAGGCCTCAATTGTTAAGGGACAACCGTACTACTGATTGGAAGCTCCGTACCTCACACTCGAGTTCACCCTATAGTTTTTTGGGTTCCTTGAGGCCTCAATTGTTAAGGGACAACCGTACTACTGATTGGAAGCTCTGTACTGTAGTTCCAGTCCCGCCATCTGGACTGTCCGGGGTTTCACTGGATTTCCCGGGAGCTAGGCACCGAAAGTGTTACACCTGAGAGCCTGTTGCTTATTTCACTACATTCAGAGTTAATATCCATGTTCGGGGGGTTGTCCGATCAGAGGGGTACGTTGTTGCGAATCCTCAGTATATGTTTTCAACCTAACCAGAAAACAATTTTCCAATTGAGTTCACAAGATTACCACTGGGCGGCGACAAAGGATTGATTATTTTTTTGAATTAATAGCAGTGACAAACAGCGTGACTAGACGTAACACACTACTCATAAGGTTGCTGAAAACACTTGGGCAGCCACCGACCGGTTTTGTCCTTCTTGGGGTTCATCAGGTAGGCACAATCCCCGAGTTTCCGTCAACTTTATGTTCCACTTGAACCCAAATTGGCAGACTTCAACAAGCACACTCACCTACCAATTTGGTTTTGACGGGAGACTCACTTGGAACCCAGCTGAACCTCTCTCTCTCTTATGATGTTCCTTAATAAAATCGATTGTGGGCCGTCGAAGAGTTTCACCAAGCTCATGAGTAGTGTATTAAGCTCGTAAAGTGTATCGTGATATCTTGAATTCCGTATCAGCTAAAACATTAGGCGGTCTCGTGCAGCGCATTCAGTTGCTTAAGAACATCATTATCTGGGTTCCAGGTGAGTATCGTGAAAGCCAAACTGATATGCGAGTGTGGTAATTTGCTCAGCCGTTTGGTCGATGCGGAAGAAAAGATTATGAGCGGCATGGAGTGCGCAGCTGTGACTTATTGATAAGCATCACCTTAAACAGAAGACAGTATGAACCAATAGTGCATAGTTGGTAAGGTCAAATCGAACGTGATTCGCATGGACTAGGCCCCGCATGTCACAGCAGACAGACGCAGACAAACGCAGAAGCACGAAACGCACCACTTGCTGTTTTCTAAGAGGGTGTTCGTTTCCAACTTTAGCACAAATA